CTCCTCGGGGAGGATCCCGGGGGGGTCCAGCAGACCCCCTCCAGGGGCACCCCGTGCTCCCCAGCCCGGTTCCAGCGTGCCCCTCGCCGCTCCCCGTCCCGCCGGGCCAGCGCAGCAGCCGATAGCGGATACCGGGCAGGAGCAGCCGTTCCATTTCTGTAGAGCGCTCGTTACCGCGTCATTCTGTACTTCTGTTGACACAATGGCCGGTGATATTCGTCCCTTTCACTTTTAAGGCTGAAATACGTTAGAGTTGCGGAGGGTTCCCGGCTGTGTCGAGGGCTCAGGAACCCGATAGGAAATGGGGCCGGTGATGGACGAGGCGTTAATGTCCCCACGATGCCATAAAGGGCAGAGCACGGACACCACTCGCACGAAATCAGCCCAAATTTCTGCCTTCCCGGACAAGTTCCTAGCTAAAAGCCTCGTGGCATCCTGGCTCCAGCAAACCGGCGTTGGGGCACATGGGGCCGGAAGGCTGCTGGCCAGCTGGCCAGCACAGCCCTGGGCACTGAGAGGTGCACCCACGGGTGGGTGCAGTGTGCGGGGACCGGGAGCTGCAGCCCCGTGAGAGCGCCCGTGGCAGATGGAAGATGGAGGAGGGACCCCAGCCGTGCCCTGATGCCCCCTGCCCACTCCGTGCTGGTCCGTGCCCCCCGAGCTGGAGCCCAAGGGTCCCCCCTGCACAGCCCCCAGCTCCCGCCCAGTCTCCATCTCCGGGCTGACCCCCCCTCAGGGATGGCGGGGTCCGTCTCCTCTCCCCACCCCCACTTTCCAATCCAGGACATTTGGGTTGCCAGCACGGAACGCCGTCTAATCTGCCCTCTAATCCCGCAGCCGGGCGCTGCACGGGGCCCTGAGCCGCGGCCGGGCTGGGGGCTGGGGCTCCGCACGGGTCGGGGGCTTCCTTCACATCTGCCACCACCTGATAACAAACGGAACGCCTCAACAAAGGTCCCTTTGTGCCCCTCGGCTCGCTCCTGCTGGGCCCCCACACCCAGCACAGACACGGCACGGGGCAGCTCCCGGCCCCGGGGCACCGGGACCCCTGTGAGCGGGGCACCGGGACCCCTGTGACCGGGGCACCGGGACCCCTGTGACCGG